ACGGGCCTCCAAACGGCTCGCCTCCACATCTGAAATCCCGCACTTGGCAAAGCACATTCGCAGACACACGCTGCCCCCACATGGACATGTGAGGAACAGCATCCCCTTCCTTTCTCTGAGGCTCATCTAAGCAATCTTGACCAGGTTGCCTGAGAAACCTAACCAGGAAGCGTACAGGGGCAAGAAAAATGTGACAGCGGCCTGTGAATCGCAGACACTGGCGGTGTCGACTGGCTGGCTGGGACAAGGACCTGGCGTGGCTCGTATGCCACTAGGGTATCCAGGTTCTGCTCTGCTCAGCTCCGGGACCCAAAATGGGACCTCTGAAAGCTTAGCACTGCAAAAGCAAGCGCACAAGAACAGCACCCAAAACCCACATTTTGCAATGTCTTCAGGCACACAGCTCCAACTCATACTGGGCTACGGACAGAAGAGACATTATAATTTGGTCGGCACATAGATTGTCTCCTATCATCTCTTCCACCTCATCCACGCATGCCAGTGCTGGTTAAAGCTAGCTGATGGAGAGGAGGAACATCACTTAAAAGCAGGTCGTTTTAAATGACGCCACCATACTGTGTAGGCATCAAAAAGTATAGTATTCTATTGGAAAAAAAAAAAAAAAAAAACTTTGGCTGTCTTTCTAAACTTTCATTGGTGGATTTAGAAACAAACGCACTGGGCAGTAATTTGTGTTCACGGTCAAAGGCAAGTCATCACGTGATGAACTTAAATGGTTAATCAAATTACAATGGAACACATTATCATCAGCCTTTAACACTAATGTTGCTATGAAACTCTGCAAAACAAAATGAGAGGAAACACTAACCTTCCTTTTGACTGTTTGGCACACAGCATATCTTGGTCTATCGTCACATGATTTGGTAGGTTGCTCTAGTCATTTACAGTACCTAGGCGCTTATTGAGTTAAACCTGAAGTAGTACAACTATTGCTGTGGATATTGCTTGCTACATTGTTTGCCAAAAATGTCTGTATGCCATCCTGACCCCAGTTCTTAAAATTCATTACAACTCTCAGTGCAGTGTAATGAGTGATTTCTGAAAACAGCTGGACTTCGACAATTGAGAGAACAAATGACCAGATGCTGCTTTATTGGAGGATGTTCTGAGGAAAGTAAAAATGAGTCACTAAAAATGTGTTTTTTCCCTTCTACGCGTTTTAATTTTGTGATCATGAAGGTCAAAGAAGCCCACAAATCAAGCATTCACATATTTGGCATCGTTCAGAGCTGTGCCGGTTATGTGAACAGGAAGACCTGCTACACCATTGCCAGGCAGTGGATCAAACTTTTAATCACTTCCTGGCTAATGACTCGAGAAGCCTGGGGTAGCAACTTTTTTTCCTTCTCTTTGATTGGCCTGAAACTCCCAGACCTGCAAAAAAAAAAAAAAAAAGATCAACATTCTAATGGCCATTGTCACAACAAACCAAGCAAACAGAATTGCCACAGATTTTCTATTTATGGACAAGACTGTCAGCTCAGTGGGCATCCCATGTTCTGTCTATGCCATTGGTGAGGCTACAATCATTGCTCCAAATCGCCTAATTGGTAGTGAACATCAAAGGGGTGTGGTCTGAAACAGAACCTCCAGTCAGCTCTCAAACACAGTATCAGAACCTCCACAGGGGGAGAGTGGAAGGAACATAGGGGCTGAATATCTGGCCAATACAGAATATCTGTGGTCTTACTACCCATAACATCCAGGCTTTAAATACTACACTCAATGGTCATTGGGGAACTAGACACGTGATTCATGATGATACACATTAATATCACTCAGTCCTGCTGTGATTCAGTGAGATAGGACATCCTCCTACTCTAGTTCATGCGGTTCGAATTCCACACAAGTCTGACATTGCAAAGAGAAGAGGGGAGAGCTTGAGATCGAGTATGGCACCATGTAAAATAACATAAAGCTTACTGCTTGAGGAGGAGGGAAAGCAACTGCTGTGGAATCTCGTTTCGTCAGTGTACGAGGAGCACAGATGAAACAGCAAAGGAAACGGGACACTAAACCTTTTCTCATCAGAGCTCTGAGGAGCCATCATCGAGCTGTGCCAAGTGTGGATTTAACACCAGCCTTAATGGGTTAATACAAAAACTGCAGGCTGAAATACTGGGGATTTGGAGGGAATGAGGGAACGCCCTCTCTGAGTGACGGGCGAATCTCACCTTCCCTCCATCCTGCTCAGGTTTGTCTGCTCGCTCGAGAGTTTACAAATTTTAGAAATTTCTGAAGACAATTTACACACAGGTGGAATGAAATGCATTTCTCAATTTCATGAGTCTAAGTCAAATTGCAAAAACAAATCAGTAAGAATTTCAAACTGGTGCATACTTTTAAGTTTCTGGCAAGTTCCCGATGAATGTAAAAAGGATTATTGTCCCCTTATGCAACAGAAAAAAAAAAACAAAACAGATGAGGAAACAGCCAACAGAAAGAATGAGTAATGCCCAAGTACCCTACAAAGGCAGTATTCTACAACTGTGTACAGGTATTTACATGGCGGGTCTTACTTCTGTACAACATAAAATGGTAGCACTTCCCAAGAAATTTTGGAACTCTTTTTTTTTTTTTTTACCCCAAAACTCCTTAGTCATAAAAGCCAACTTACATTAAAATATACTTACTACAAGACAACACAACTAACAAAATATATAATAAAACTGATAAATGTAGAAAAATTTGAGGTATTTCTGGTCTGAGGTGGTCTGTGGTCATGAATGATCTTTTTTCCATTTTTTAAATATGTTCTTTTTTAAGCTTGGTTTCTGTTTTGCTTTGACCTTGGAAGCCTTCGTCCTTTCAATGTGTGTGTCTGGTTGCATTCATACACGTCATTTACTGAGAGTTGCAAGTTTTGCACACAAAAAAGAATATACAGAATCATATATTCATCTTTGAGTTGAAACAGCAGCGGTGTGAACATTCACTGTTAACATGTTACAGCATATTGAAGCTTCTTGAGCCATGTTTTAAGACAAAACCAATCCTTGCGTCTTATTTTCTGAGTCAGGAGACAGACTGGCCACTCATGGTCTCTGATATTGGAAGGAGGGGAAGTTTTACTGGTTGTCCAGCCCCTTTCCCTGCAAAAACATCACTACAGCAGAGGACTCCCTGGGTCAATACTAAAGTCTGGTCCCTGGAGAAGTCAAATGTAAAGGGACCTGACCAAGGCAAATGGCCAGTAATCCTCTCTCCTGTAGCTTTTGCAGTCTAAAATATAGACTTTTTCTGAGGACTATCTCTGGCTTCGGAGTGTATCTAGGTCCTTAGCTCCTGCTGTCCAAAACAAATATGACTGAATAAAGAAAGAAAAGAAAAGAAAGGAGACATGCACATCAACTGGAGAGCTCATTAAAATCACGGAATTCTCTTCATCCCATGGGCTGAACCACACACCCACACACACACACACACACACACACACACACACACACACACACACAGACACACACAGACACACACACACACACACACACACACACACACACACACACACACACACACAGACACACACAGACACACACAGACACACACACGCAGAGTAAACCCATACATACACATATACGTCGTCCTTCACCATAGTCTTCCACCCACTGGGGGTGTTGTTTAGTAGCTATGTTTGTTTGGGCACCTATCACTTACAACTGGAGCTAACCCCACCTGCATTGGCTTCAGTGGCTTTAAATAACATCTGATTATACCGCCTCCGAAACCCTGCCCCTCCCAAGCCCCTCCCCTTCATGAGTGGATGCTTGGCTCTCTCCCAAAATACAACTGGTTGCCACCAACAACATCCTACCTCAAAAGCTCTGCTCCAAGAGACCGGTTACCTGAGAAGTAGTTCCAAACCTAACAAAATGTTTTTGTCCAGATGCTGCAAAATCTCGAAGTCTCTAACCATTTGTTTCTTCTTTTAGCCCGCCTACCTTTCCATCCCCCACCCAATCCACACAAAAAAATGCTTAACCAATCAAAATACCAGTCTGTTTCAAAAAAAAAAAAAAAAAGTTCTGCTGACTTCCAATTTTCCACATGCTCTGGAGACACCCGTTAGTTCCGTTAAAGACACCTTTACCATTATTTTGTTAAACACTCACTTTCATCAAAAGGAAAACCAGGAGAAGAAGGATCCCTTGAGGAAGGTGAGTTGTGTGTAACAGTCTTAGGGCTCCCCAAAGGTTTTGCAGCATTGTTGTATTGTCGAAGATGGTAGAGTTGGTTTTTTTGTACGGTTGGTTTATTTTTGCCACAGGCAGTCCTGTTTTTTTTGTTGAGAAGATAGAAAAACTAGAAATAAATTCAAATCAATGACTGAAATAAAACAGATGAGGTACCTGCACCTTTTTAAGCATTCATAAGTCGGCACCTGAATGCCCTGAAGATGTCCGTTTCGCGTTTTTTTTACGTCGATTTTTTTCTCACTCGTGAAAAATACAGTAGAGCAGTGTGCTGGTAATATTGATCTGATCCAAAAAAATCATAATCAATAAAAAACATATCTGGATAAAATAGCAGCTGCAATCATGTTTTTTGTTTAAGTGTTTACTGAGATCCACCGAGTCTGGAAAGACAAGGGTTGGCTTTTTTGTCGGCGTTGTTTTCGCTTTTTCCTTTCCCCTTTTCTTCGCATGACGGACTTAGATACTGGACTCTTTGGGTGGCAAGTCCACATTGGTGACGGAGGTCACCATGGAGACCAGGCAGTCCGAGGTAGTGGCGTTTATCAGCCTGGCCATCTGGGAGATGCGCTCCTCGACGCAGCCAGCCGACAGCCGCGCCTCCGCGTCATGGTCCCAGCACTCCTCTATTGTCTCACACATCTGCGCCAGGCCCTGTGGGGGAGGGGGAACATTACCTTACGTTACATTATATTATTGCCATTTAGCAGATGCTCTTATTCAGAGCAACTTGCAGAGGTTACAAATTTACATGTTATGCCGTTACACTGGACATTTACTGAGGTAGAGCTCCAGTGGGGAATCGATCCAGCTACCTTTTGGTTATGGGCCCTGCACCTTACCGCTGTGCTACACTGGACAGACACACTTCAGCACTGCCTCGCACTCCTGGGTTCGATGAGTCCGACATGATTGAACATACAGCACATGCTCACCTCACTGTGACGCGATCATGCCTGTCTCAAAAGCAGGGCCGTTCGTATGGGAACACCGGCTATAGGTGCACACCAGCTGTTAATGCCAGACAGGCCATCACCAAATCAACAACCACTTTCCCATTCACCTTTAGTTACAGGTTGATGCAAAAAGCAGTTAGCTGGAGAGGGACGATCACATCCCCTCCTTAGTGAGGCTGGGAGACTGACTCAAAGGTAATTAACTTATTTTGGACCTGGCTCAACCTAACTGCTGTTGTAACATGCATTTTTATACACATTTTCAGCTGCAGGGAATTGAGTGAAGCAGCTTGGTTAATTTGCTTAACTGAGTAAGACAAGCATGGCAGTCAGACTGAATCTGGGCCTTCTTCCTGACTAAAGTTAGGGCTGACCACAATGCCCTTTCTGCTGGTGGCCTGTGCCTCAGGTAGCCAGCTGATTACAATGCTAACAGTAAAACAAGGTACTCACAGCGTGTTTTAGCCAGCAGTCCTTGATAACCGGCCTCATCTTTTTGTGAACAACGACTTCCTGCAAGTCCTCAAGGGATGGGTGCTGTCCAATCTCCTCCTCGAAGGGCAGCATGTACTCATCCACGGGACCTGCAACACCAGGGCAGCAGTTAACAAGATGGCTGCTGGAGCCTTGGCCCCGACAGACAGAAGACCAGGCGTATCAGCCGTGTGTGACCCTGGCATGCGATTGGCTACATTGTTCTCGCTCGCTGTTTGGAAAAGTGCTCCTGTGTAACCCCCCGGTTTCCCCCCCGACTCACCATCAGCAGCCTTGCAGCGTGATGCCAGCTCCCATAGCACCAGGCCCATGGCGTACATGTCGATCCTCAGAAAGGCATCTCTCTGGAAGTTGATGGCCCCTTCCAACACCTCTGGTGCCATATACCTCCGCGTCCCCACCTATCAGCGAGGAGAGGTCAGAGGTAACAACCTTTTAGATGTTTCACAGAATTTTGCACATTGAACAAACATTTACCAGGGGTGGTTAGGGGTTATGAAGTCTAGTGCTGTTTAATCATACTGGACAAGTTCTGGACTCATAAGCACTGCTGGATAAAAATGAGAGGAGGTGGCTCCTACCTGTCCGTGGGTGTCTCCTGGGGGCTTCCCTGGCTCAAAGCGCACAGCCAGCCCGAAGTCCCCGATGATGGCAGTCAAATCTCCCCTGAGCATGACATTCTTACTCTTGAAGTCCCTGGTTGACAGATGACACAATTACAGCCGCGTGTGGTGGAAACATGCAGACACATTGGCAAACAACTCCCACACTCTGCTTCCAGCAAGAACAGACATGTTATTTTGTTAAACTGCAGCTTACATACTCTGAGACATACAGACCAGCATCAGACACAAAGGAAAAATTAAATGAAAGTGGGAGTTTGCTACTGATGCAGATACTCTTTAAAAGCTGCTTGAAGTGGTCCTGTGAAAATTCGCTGGATACACAAAACATGACATTGGCCCTCTTCAAGCCGCCATTTTAGTATGCATTTGCTAAGTAAATCAGCCATAGGTGAAGCAGAAAAAAACAAGTATGTGATTCATCATCACTTTAATACCTTCTACTGCGTGGATGACCGATTAACTTGTTTGGCTTTCTAACGTGCTAGATTACATGCAACACAGTCTTTAGTGTGTTCATTATGTAACTGACATAGGCCACCACTAGAGGGCACTGTTTACCCATACACCTTGCAGAAAAAATCTCAGTTCTATTATTTGCCTGGTTCACATTCTTCTGTGAAGCAACTTACATTGTTGCACTCTGAATGCTGGTATTACCCATTCATAAAAGCTGGATATTTCCTGAGGCAGCTAACAGCAGCACGCACCCCCAGGATTCAAACCGGGAACCCTTGCAAAGGTCCCTCCCGCACCAGCACGTCACTGGCACTCCAATAGGGCTTTTAGTCTCAAACACATTTTTACAAAAATTAATGGTTTGACGTTAACGTCATTCGATTAAGCTCTTGAAGAGATAGGGCAAGAGTTGGCACAATACAGTCACGGGCCCCTGGCAGTAATGTGTGGGTCTACAAATCCCTGTTGCTACAATAAAAATATCACTATGCACAAATGGTACCAGAAGTTACATTAGGAAGTAAACTCCTAAAGTCAACATTTGGGCCAGTAGTGAAGGCGGGTTTGGGGGGATAGCGTTTCAGCTGGTAATGTTACCTGTGTGCTATGGCGGGCTTGGGGCCCTCTCCTTTGTAGCGGGGCACGTCTTCATGCAGGTAGGCCAGCCCACACGCCATGGTCTCTGCTATGTGGCACAGCTCGTTCCAGGTCACCACGTTGCCCTTCAGGTGGTCCGTCAGTGAGCCCTGCCCACACAAAGTCACATGTATTTCAGTGCTGGGTTTACTAGAGCTTGAGGCTGTGCATGGGCTTCAAACAGACACTGGCCTCCTGTGACTCCTCCTGTTCCTGCTATGACCACTAGGAGGCGCTGTAAAGGCTTGAACAGACACGGGTGAGCCGTCCCTCACCTTCTCATGGTACTCGGTGATCAGCCACAGCTCCATCTCCAGGTTGTTTCCGCGCTTCTCGGCCGCAATGTAGCGCAGCAGGTTCTCGTGCTTCATCCCCGGGGAGATGAAGATGTCCCGTTCGTTCTGCCACGACTGTTTGTCCTGCACACATAAACACACAGCCACTTGCTTCAGACACCAAATCACAGACGGCAACTTCACATACTCACCCCTGCATCTAATACGTTCAGCTCACGGCACGGTATGTTTTGCGACATGATTCAAGTCCACGATATGAAATTATCACCAAATGATATTCCCACAGAAACAAGTCTGATAGGAAAACAAAAATACAAGATTCAACGAGTTCTTCTTTTCATTCTTGCATTCAAACAAACCCACAGTCATTCTAAAATTCATGATATTCCACTGGTCTGAGGGGCATCTTGTTTTTATCAAACTGAACCACAACTGGCTGGCCTCATCATCTTCATCATCATCATCATCATCATCATCACCATCATCCTTCGGCCACAGCCAAGATCTAAGTCACTTGAAGCCTCCAGGTATCCCTCTCCGCCATCAGCCTGCCCAGATCTTACGCTAGCAGTTGAAGGTCTCTGGCAATGGCATCAGTGTAATTGAGAGGTCTCCTACCCCTGTTAGGGCAGGGGAGCCTCAGTAATAGAGGGTCTGAAACAACTTGCTGTTTGGCATGCAAGCAGTGTCTAGCAAATCTAGCTCTGCGTTGTGCTACAATGGTGGAAACTGGTGGTAAGTCACCATAGATTTCACGCTTCGTTCAATGTTCTTGCCAGGATGTGGTCTTGAACCTCATGAGAATTTTTGTGTATGTGCAAATCTAGGACCATTCGAGCTCTGAATGAAATCTGAGGGGTTGTACATGATTGCAATATTAGCTATTATTTTAGCTACATGGAGTAGACCGAATCTTTTTGAACAGACTAAAAAATGGCTGCTGCTATAAGCAAAAGCCATTGCTTTGTGCTCATTTTCCCCTGGGAATTAATCTGAATATTTAACAGCTTGAGGTATGTACAGATTTTGAGGAAACTTGCACAATACAGTCTTGATAGCGTGTAACAGAGAAAGGCCATGTGAGTTGCCTTCTTTGGGTCACACTCAGTCACATATTCTAAGGCACTGACTGGAAATTAGTCAGTTCAGCCTTGGGAAGAACAGCATTCACCTGAATGGGGAAGACCTTGACAGCGACATATTCATTCATCAGCTGTGCCTTCCACACACAGCCAAAGCGCCCCCTAGCTTTGATTTCCAGTAGCTGCAGGGGTTTCAGGCCAACCAGCGGGGAGGGAGGGGGCGGGCCAGGATCCTGGATGAGGAATAAGAGGTTGTTTGAGAAGACCTTCACTCCAATGTGTTCTGACTTGAAATATTTCCTCAAATTATGAAGCAAGAACACTATGCTCATTCCATCTGTTCCATTAGACACAGCCCTAGAACATATGCATTGTGGTGAGCCAACAACAAAGTCAAAACACAAACAGCAACAGGCAGACTGAAGCCTAGCCTCAGCCTCATCTGTGCCGTCAAGCACCCACCCACCACGAAAGTAAGCCTTAGTTACAATACAAGCTCCAAGACTAATGGTTTAGTATTACACTAAACATCCACAGAACGTTAGTCTCAAGTGGTAGCAGAGGTAATGACATCAAATCACCACCGGGGGGGTGTTAGTCAAAAATATAAACAACACGTCCCTTAGCCAGCTGCTGTGGTACTGGCAATAATGGGTGTGCGTGTGTGTGTGTGTGTGTGTGTGTGTGTGTGTGTGTGTGTGTGTGTGTGTGTGTGTTGGATGGGGGGGTTAAGTGGGCAGTACTGAGAGGCTCACCTCGTTGATATCCACGTGGCCATACGGCGGCTTGCGGTGGCGGTACATCCAGAAGGCAAGCAGCAGCGCCACAGAGAGCACGGAGATGGGCAGCAGGGAGTAGACCAGGATGTTGAGCAAGGAGGGCGTGGGGGGAGGGGGCCTGATCTTCACTGCAGAGCAGAGGCGAGAACAGCACGTTACTGACCGCCTGGGGGAAGGGCCTTGCACGCGGCCGGCCTGCGGCCACACCGTGCCCGAGAACTCCACAGAGCAACTGATATGGTGCACACGCACGCACACACACACACACACACACACACACACGCGCGCGCTCACGTGCACTCTGCATGGAGACACAGCAACATATTGACAAATACTTCAAAGACTCCTTACACTGCACAGACACAGATGGACATGGAAACAAACACACACACACACACACACACACACACACACACACACACACACCTCAACAAAAGGAGGCACAGTATAGCTGCACTGAGAAATTCCGTTCATGTCATTCACTATTCCTGTAAAAACTGACTTAACAGACAACCAGGGAGGAACTCTGGTAT